GCCTGCTCAGAGCGCGACGGTGCTCCACCTTCTTACCGAATACGAAAATGCCTCTAGGCAACGCATTAATTTTGAGAAATCAGTAATCACCTTTGGCAAAGATGTGGACCCAGATATACGATATGCCATTCATCACTCTTTCAAATATTATCGGTGAGGATGAATATAGGAGTACTATTGCTGCTGTTCGTCATGTTTTGGCATGTCGTGGTTTGGAATATGTTTCTCTCCTTGACTGATAAAATATATTTCTTATTAATTATTTTGGTGTTTAGTTGTTTTATTGTTATCTTAGTTTGTTGTAATAACTTTAGATTATCTTAGTTTATTAATTTTGATTTCATAATTTATAAACATAAATCGTATTTTTTTTATATCTTAACTAATTATTAAGTGTAATATTTACAAGTCTTTTTTAATATTACTATTTAATCATGCTTTGTTCAAATTAGTGCGACTACTAGTCTGGCTACATTCTCTGGTAGACTTATATCCACATGAGTTTATTCTGTGGATTATATTGTAATTGATGTGTGCAGGGTTTAGATGCATATGCAACCTTTAAATTTATAACCCTAGGAAACTGCAAGTGCACAGTATTGACAATTGTAGTACTTAGGGGTCAATCCACTGAGGACTAAGCGATGATGCGCTACAAAACTATATGATGTGAATTAAGCTAGATGAATATATTATTTGGTTTTTTTAGGGTTTATGGAAGCAAATAACGAAGCAATAAAGTAAAGATAGATAGTTCAATCAAGATAAAAGATCAAGCAACTCTCAAGACATATGCAAGATATAAGCAAACGATTTAGGGTTTTTAATACTAGTTGCTCTAGAACTCAAATCACTAAGGTAAAATCATACCACTATCGTGGATCAAACTTCTATGCCTTCTTCCCTAATCGACTCAACTATCGTATGGTTATTACAAGGTGAAGACACACATAAAGTGTAAGATTCGATTGTTCACTAAACTCCTTAACTAACCTATCGAATTGTTACGACGCTTAACTCATCAAATACTAGGCCCAGAGATATAACAAGTTTTTGGAGAGTATATCAACCTAATATCAGTCACTGGGTATCTAAGCCAGATCATGTGTTGAGCATAAATAAAGATGAAGAATCAATTCGAGAATAAAACCTTAAACGATCAATTGTGTGATAACATAGAAATAAGAAAGTGCATGAAATCAAATCAAGGCTAATACTCTACATGTTTTGCAATAAGGAGAAGCAAGAGTAAAGCAAATAAACATAGTATAAATCGTTGATCTACAAATCGTAAGGGATTCATCTCTTTACAATAGGGTAAAGTCGAACTACCCTTAAAGGCTTTTAGAATCAAATATGCATTAAAAACAAGAGAAAAACGAAATACATGTTTAGATATTGATTTAGGCTGTTTTGGCCGGCTGCTCTTGCTTCCTAGAGAGGCTAAAATCACGTATATATAGGGGTTTAAGAGGTCCTAAGTCGGCTAGGGTTATCTTTGGGCAAAAGAGTTTTTTACGTCGAAACTGAGGCAACAACGATCACAATATCGGCCGGGTTATATGAACGATATTTGAGGCTTCCATGACGCTTCTAGAAGGTCGGCAAAGGTCTGGATCATCGGCCCACGGAGCGGCCCGGTGCTTGGCTAATTCATGCGCTTGCTTCACTTCTGAGGCAGTTTGACATATCTTCAGTGTTTCTAGTGTATTTTCCAAAGTATAGCTCCAAATGGTGTTGTTCAAACTTCATTGTAAAGCTAACTCAAAGAGCTATCTTCATACCAAGTTTCATTAGATTCAAAGTTGATTTAGTCTTCCGTTCATCAGTGAACTTTTGGCATATACATTCTGTCCAACTTAAAAATATGCTTTATCTTCAAGATATAATGACTTGGCTTGGCTCATTTGACTTGAATAAGTAGCTGTATCATAGATAACACTCATTTTGCTCCTTTTTGCATCCTTTTGATAATTAAACCTATTAAAACCTTAAAATTCATATATACGAGAAAACTACCTCTTTTGGTCAAAAGACTTTATTAAAGTATATAAGAACATAGTAAAATAGATAGTAAAAGTGGTAAAATATAGAGTATATCAATAATATACTAAAAAGTTTTGACCATATTTTTTGTAGTGCGAGTATTTCCTTTCGCTGACTCGACTTCTAAGGGTCTAAGTTTCACTTTTCACTAGATTATTGTTGAGATATTTTGTATATTCCAAATATGCATTTGCTCTTCAATGTTTCTAACTGAAAAACTTAGAACCCTTCCAGTATTATTATAGGCTCATGCATACAATATAGCTAAGATGTCCAAATAATTTTACAACACACAAGCAATACATAAAACACATGGCAATGCTTCTTTTGACAAAATTCACCCAGAAAGAAACCAATCCCAACTGTTGCACAACGTCAGACCAACGATTCCATTCTCTATAATGACGCTTTTTGGGAGTTTTTGACCAACAAAATCTACTTCCCGCCTTTCTTATAGCCATCTTTGAGAGTGACCGTTCGGTTAAACACAAGCTTTTCTGGGCTAGAGTCCTTGTCAACCACGTAATAACCTAATTCATCGCAAGTCAGCAGTGGTGTCAGTGTTGATTTTTGAGGATAAAAGATACTACAAGTGGTTTGTTCATCTACAACTGAAAACAACAAATACCATTCCTCTCGAACTGGAATGTGTCCCCGACCACAGCATCTCTAATGGTTGAAAGAGCATAGGCATCAGAAACTACCACTTTGGAGTTCGAATTTATGTCAGTGAGCCAGTCAGCATTGAGCTAGGCTGGGTTCTGTTATGATTGAAGACATTATTTATCATCATACCTAAAATTTAGATCTTCACAATTGTCCTTATAAAGGTATAATAATTGCTATCAAAAAGCAAAAGATACAAGCTACCCAAGTAGAAGCGAGCAAAATTTTGTTTACCTTAGATAACAGTAGCCACCTCGCTCCTTTGCAAGACCGAAATCAACAAACATAGCCTGGAAGTATAACCAATAAAAATAGCCATGAAAACGTAGGCCTTACCGATCATAAACCATCATGTAAAGTATCTCAAAACCTCATATCATGTATATTTAACCTTTGCATGCCCAATATGTAAATAACCATTTGGTTCAGGAGGCAACCGTGTATAAACTTTTCCTCCAGTCATCTTTAGATGTTTGTCAAGCACTTCCTTCGTATTGCTACATCTGAGCATAGAGCCGTCACTGAAAAACACTTCTGTGTGAACCTGAGAACATAAATGACAAAAGAACCTACATGGTTAAAACAACATTTAAGCCACAGATCTCCCATAGGCATATGTTGCATGGCATTGCAAGCTATGAATCCATCCAATATTAAACCAGAAGGTCATGTCATACATATTGGCAATCTTCCATTTTTTCCCAACTGTAAAATTTCACAGAAGTTCATGCCATCGTTATCGACGTCACCACATATTAAAAGGCAACCAATGCATGCAGACCATACCTATTCAACTCTTGCTATTACTTGATCAGCACATCGATAAATGATTATCAGAGGATTTTTTAAAAGTATAACATAAGAGTCCAAAAAGAAGAAAAGTCAGAGAAACATAATCAAAAGCAGTGAGTTACCATAACATTTTGATTTGGGTGATTACAGAATATGTATTAAGCTCCTCTTGAGATGGATGTGGGACAACTTCCACAACAGCATTCTTCGAAAAATTAGCAACAGAAATGTATTAAAGTTGATGCATACACAAAAGAAAATACATTGAAACGAAACTGATGCTCACCTCTACTCTGGCAGGCTTCTCCTTTTTTGTAGGTTTATCATTGTCAGCAGCAGTTCTCTCGCCAAGCAGTTCATACATTTTCTCATCTATGACTCTCTATCACAAAAATGGGATCGGATAAGAAAACTAAGATGTTGTATAGCACAAAGCATCGGTTGGTAAAACCATGAACTCACCTTCACGGTCTTAGGATTTGCCCATGCGAAACGTTTCCGGACATGTCCGATAAATTCACCCACTATACCACAACATAAATACATCTCGTTCAGAAAAGAAACAGGGTTATAGAGAAAGGGAGGGATAGGATATGCCTGAAAGAAACATAAAGGGCCAGGCAATGAGGTAAACGACTAACCATTAGTCCGGTAAAGCATCCGCAATACTGTATTCATATTCTCTTCAAAGATTTCTTCAACTGTTCTCTCAATATCTTCTGGGGAAACGTCAACCCCTGTTCCAAAACCATAGTCCAAGCATCAAGTTAGCAAAGGAAAAGAAAGCAAAAAAAAAACAATCCATTATAAATAGTTGCATTCACAAAAGTTCCTACCAACACCAAATGCCTCCTCAAATTCATTTAGCTTGAAGTCATCAGCACTGGTATTGCCTAAATACAAATATGCAGCATCCAACTGTACTAAAGATTTTATCTGCAGATTCAAAATATAGTGAGAACAAAAACAAATTCAGACAGATTCTTAACGACCAAAAAAATCCCAACACAATAAAATGCACTATTGACAAATAACAGTCCATCTGCATAAACGGTAACTCAAGGAGCCGGATGCAAACCTTAGAAGAAACAATGTACTTAAGCCATGTAGGACGATGCACAAGAGCTTTTCCGTAGTACTTAGTAGCGACCTGTTACAGATTCCTCAATAAGTTTCTTAAAAAATATTCAGGAAATTTAGGTTTCATTAAAAAAAAAACAAATCTTCCTATTCTGATTGTCTAAACTGGGATTAGGATAACCAGAATATCTCACCGTGTACAATAGATTTCCAGTAGTTCGGTCGCACCCATTAGTGACACCAGCCTGTACATAAGACGAGAACAAAGTTTTGATAATCTAACTGAGGAGGTAAGAGAACAAATAGCAACAACAAATGCAAAGGAATTCAAATTATCAGAAGAAAAAGGAGACAGAGAGAGAGGAGACCTGGTGAATGAGCGCGGTGAGATCGGAGGTGACCCTACTGTTTCTGTCGACGGTGTCGAGGGCTGTTTGCTCCTCCAAACCGATTTTGAGGAAGAGCTTGAGAGATTTCTTGGTGTTATCGTCTCCGAGAACCATGGCGCCGGGAAGAAAGAGACTTTAGGGTTTGACGGAATTCTTTTTTGTTATCTATCTTTTTTATACGGAATGTGTCTAAATTGGGCTTATAGGAATGTAAAATTGATCCGTTAATAGATAAATCCTTGACTTTATAAAGGGCCCATTTGATTACACTTTGCGCTTCGTGTTGTTATTTACATTCTGTGTTATTATTAGAGTTATTTACATTCTAAGACACTTTCTTACATACTTATTACTTTAATAGACACTTTGTAGGGGAGACGGAAATGGCCTTTTTGGACCAAAACTATTGCCATCGGGCCTTTTTGGACCTGATCTTTTAGCATTGACCAATTTAAACCCGAACCTCAAATTAATTCAAATTCGATACCTAAACGTACGATTTTATTGTTGATTTAGATCTTGACCAAGTTACCGTTAGTCAACATTAACGGAACAATGACATGGACGACACGTAGACAAAGGAAAACAGTCTTTTGGACCAGAACTATTGCCATCGTGTCTTTTTAGACCTGATCTTTTAACATTGGCCAATTTAAACCCGAACTTCAAATAAATTTAAATTCTTTGACATGGACGACACGCAGACAAACGGCTCGGTTTCGTTTGAACAACAGCCTCACAAGTTCTTGTCCAACCGACGCTAATTCGAAACTACTAAATCGACGCAAATACGACGCAAATTTAGCATCATATTTACGTCGAATTGGATTCGATTCAATATTTGGACGCTAAATTGATGCTAAATTAGTATCGTATTTGTGTCGATTTAGTAGTTTCGAATTAGCATCTGTTGAAAATTTGACAACTATTTTCCATTTTAAATCTTATTTTTCTTAATTAATTTTAAGTTTTAACATATTAATCATCTGGTCAATCTTATTATTAGATACATGTCGTGATCTCGTGAGTTATAATTTTTCTTACGTGTCATGCTTATATAAAAATATATTGCGGTAAATACTTTTGATTTTAAATTTTATAACGCCTATAATTTGACAAATGTAATTAGATTCTAAACTATAACTCGCACAAATGTATAATA